GCGGGCGCGTGCGGTCCTCGGGGCGCTCCGGGGGTTGGGGGGGTTTTTTGTTTCTGTGGTCGAGCGTTGCCGCGCGTCTGTGGAGTTCAGTAACAACCCGTTTTGTTCCTAGAACGAGGCTCGCAAGCTGAACCACCAAGAAGTGGTGGAAGAAGATAAAAGACTGAAATTGCCAGCCAACTGGGAAGCCAAAAAAGCTCGGCTGGAGTGGGAGCTGAAGGTGGAGGAAAAAAAGAAGGTAAACACACACCTACAGCTTCCCGTAACCCTGCTGGGCCTCAGGCCAAGTGCCCGCAGCGATGCCGAGCCCCGCTTCGCGGTGGCCAGGCGGCTTTGGGAGCTTAACACAGATGTTACCTCCCAAAAATCCATCTCCTGATTAGACTCCCGATTATCTGAATTACTGTCCCGTGCTAGAGGTTGACTGGACTGGTCTAGGTAGTTAGAACTAAGTTTGATGCTTGGCCACTGTCTTCTTGTTAAAACCGAAGTGTTCTCTGTGCTGCATCAGGAATGTGCGGCGAGAGGAGAAGACTACGAGCGAGTTAAACTGCTAGAGATCAGTGCCGAGGACGCCGAGAGATGGGAAAGGAAAAAGAAGAGGAAAAATCCAGATCTGGGATTTTCAGGTAACGGCTTAACTACGTAATTGTCTGCGTTCGCAGTGAACACCGTGGTTAGCATTTCGGCGGCAAACCGGACCGTGCAATAAAAGCCTTCACCTTGACACGAACTCGTTTTCTCCCAAAGATTACGCGGCTGCTCAGCTGCGCCAGTACCAGAGGCTGACCCGGCAGATCAAACCTGACCTGGAGCAGTACGAGAAGCTGAAAGAGCAGTAGTGAGTTCGAGTTCGGTCACCCGATACCGTCTGCGGTATTTCTACACGATTTGGCAAACGCTAAAGACTTTAAAACTCCTCCTTTCAGCACGCACATACTCTCGCATGCACTGTGCTATTAATTAGCCTTTTAACACGATGTTAAGCCGCACGGCCTCCCCGATAATCTACTCGGCAACCCCTGCTTCAGTAGGGAAGAGGCCCCATGGTGTCATCGGTGAGGTCACTTTCTTCAAACTCGGCGTTGCCGAGTTCGAAGAAGTATTTTGTCAGTTAGGTTGCATTGAAGCGCAGGAGAGGATTGCTCTCGTTTCTCAGAGTAGGTTCTGGGGTTTTTAAGCAGCCTGGCGTGGCTCGAGAACAGGCTGACCGACGGCTGAGAACCTGCCGGGTTCGCATCCAGGGGGAGTTAGAATTTCAGTGGGTTTCTGCCCTTTCGTAGGCATGTGCTAGCCCCTCTCGAAATAATTGGGCGCGCTTGCTTTTAGTATCAGCACGTTCTCCCCTGAATCCTCGAGTCCCCCAGTTTGAGCTCAGTGCTTTGAAGCGCTAGGTTAAGAATCGCACAGAAGCAGGGAAATCTCAAAGCCGTCGATAGTTGTGTAAACTGCTGCCCCTCTGTTACTCTTGTCCAGCGGTGAAGCGCTTTATCCCACATCTGACAGTCTCCTCCATGGAACTCACGTGCCGTCTAAGGAAGGGGTTGATAGGATGGTCGCGGATCTTGAAAAACAGTAAGTAAACACGGTGATAAAATGCAGAAGTGGGCGACACAGAGCAGCTTTGTGTAATCAAATCCACAGGGTTCACCCCCCGGTCTTCAAACACTGCCCTTTGTCTCACAGAATTGAAAAGCGTGAAAAATACAGTCGAAGACGGCCTTACAACGACGACGCCGACATCGACTACATCAACGAGAGAAACGCCAAGTTCAATAAGAAGGCGGAGAGGTTCTACGGGAAGTACACAGCTGAGATCAAACAGAACTTGGAGAGAGGAACAGCCGTCTGAACCCTCCTCTCGGGCAAAGCCCTGCTATGCGTCTGTTCGAGTTTGGTATAGGGATTTTGCAGGCAATTTTAAGTTGTATCAAAAAAATACTTTGTAGACCTCTAGAATCAATAGTGTCTTTAATGTAATGGAAGTAATTTGCGTAACTTCAGCTGTATATAGTGCTTACTTGCATAATTAACCAGCTTGTACAATTTCATGTTCTAAATAAACACAAAATTTACCGCTCAGTTTAGAATAAAGCTTGTCTTCATCCTGCAGTAGCTGAAGACTGGGAAAGTCCCCGGAAACACTCGATTAGCAAGAAAGTGAAAGAATGCTTGAAGGAACACAGGGGACCTCTGTGTCAAAGAGAACTACCCCCACAACAGCCTGTTGACTTGCACGCTCTTCTCCCTCGAGTAGAGGTCTTGGTGAGCCACGGAGCGGAGGGCACTGTACCGCTCGATTCTGGAGCGGCGTAACCCGTACCGTTGGTATCGTGAAGCCTCCTCCTTCGCCATTCGCTTACTGCCTTGCGCAGCGAGCCTTTAAAGGCTGCTTTTCAAGCAACCTAAATCAAAACATAAGCCAAGTTCAGCAGTGGAGGTCAGAAGTTGCTCAGGTGCAACACCTTGACAGTGAGAATGGCGATGGCTTCACAAGCAGCAGCCAGGAGCACCATCACCACAAGCTTTCCACTTGCAGAGGGCTATCTGGGGAAGTTACTCCGGAGGCCCTGAACTAGCCCCAGCCCGGGCAGGAACAATTCCAGTGTAAAGGTCCACTTTCAGAACAATGCAAAAATTCTCTTCTCCTGCACTTGGCAAGAACAGATGGGTCAGTGAGAGCTAAACCTGGAAGTAACCGCTTACAGGACAGAGTCAACTTACTACCAGACACAGGTCTAATACTTGACACATTGAGAAGCCAGTGCAAAACTAAAGTTTATTGACTTGAAGTAAACAGTTACACAATGTAAATCAAGTGTTCAAAATAACAGCTACTGAACTATTGTTTAGAAAGAGTTACCCACCTGTAAGTTCTAGTCCATTAAAGCAATACAAAAATATTTACAAATATACACAAGATTCCCATCTGTGGCTTCTGGATCTCTGTGCTCTAGATCTGAAAGAGAAACCTAAGATTCCAAAATTAAGATCTCAAAATAAATACTCAGTATTAACAAGTCTTCAACCTGACCAGAAAATTTCAGACCTCACTACTGAAGTTTGCATAATGCTGCAGTCAGAGACGGCAAGAAAAATACGCTAGCGTGCCCGGAACGGTACGCTTTTAGGTGAGAAGTTTAAAAATGTTTTCTTCTCCTCCTTCTTGACAGGAACCCATTGCCCATAGGGACTTCCCTTTCTGTCCTCTTCTCTTCCTGGAGAAATTGCCGGTTCTTTGACAACATGGCTTGCTGGCTTCTGTAGTACTGGTTTTGCCATTGTATTCTGGAAAAAGAAATTTCCTCTCAAAATGCTGGAACGAGAAGGAATGTACTAAGACCTGCCAACTTCAAGGGGTTTATCTGTGCCGGTAAGACAAACATTTTCTTTCAGGTCACGGGAGACCTGATGCCTACTGTGCATCAACTACGCACGCTTAACTGACACAGGATTCAAGGAAGTTGCTTTTTCCTTAGTTCTGCATTATTTAAATATATCCAAACATGTAACTTGAAATAAGTTCCGGTGTAAACCAGTTCTGGAGTACACTTTTGAGTCTGTAGTACGCTATAAGCATTGAAAGGTAAACATCTACTTTAAACACACTGCTGTAGTGTGTTTACAGCGCTCTACTGCTGAAGTACTGACCTAACTCCTCCAGGAAAGTCATTATCGAACCATTACATTCAACTTGTTACTATTAATAAGATCTTTAATCTGGCAACCAACGCTGGGAAAAGCCTAACACAGGCGGGATGAAGTACTGGACTTCCATCTCGGGAAATCACACTTACATTAGGACTGAAAGAAATGCTTCTCTGTATGGTCGCTCTCTCCATTCCGCCCTTGGTCACGTCTTCTGCTAGTCTTCCAGGTTGCTAGAAAAGAGCACAGACAGCTTAAGTGGGAGGATACGTTATTCCGTGCCAGTTAAGGCAGTTACTAGAGAGTATGAACTTTCTGGTAGAGTAGTTTCTGATATTTACATCAAAAGTAGCTGTAAGCTACTAAATATGCAAATAGATCAATGTTGAACTCCATTTGAAAAACATTCAATGTTTTTATCAATGTCATTGTGCCAATTCACACGTGACCTCATATCCATGCCCGTGACCTCATATCCATGCCCCAGTTACAGTTTTAAAAAGGATTCAAGCATGGACTGCCACACGATGAAGTGCAGTGGTAGAGTTAAGTTGCATTAAGTTCTGCATATCGATCCTGCAGAGCTTTGGATAACGACAATAAACTTATCTGCAAGTGATGCAGGCCTCTTCTTCTGTACTCTCTCAACATCTGGAATATATTGCATATATTATGAAAGGGATGCCTGTACCATTTGTCTAAAACCCTTAGTAAATTTACTTCCATTTGAAATAGCGGTATCTGATCAATGTAACAGTTACTGCAGTTTTTGTATTTACCACGAATCAGGCTAAGACACCGTAACAACAGAGCCAAACTAAAATTCAAATTCAGTTTAAGCTGCTCAAGTTTCTCCCTCCCTTAAATTCACAGCAGCTATAGCCCACAAGTCCCTTAATTACCAACAGATTTTCTTCATCATGTCTGGAACCATAGTCATGATTTCTATAAGACAGAAATAAAGTATGTAAAATGCATTGTGTGCTTGGGTATGTAATTTCTGGGATACAAGTTTGTTGCATATGAAAAGCTTTTAACAGTTAAAAAGGGTAGAAAGATTTAACCTTTAAAAAAAACCCACACTGCTCACTAGATTTGGTAAGGAGACTCCTTGTTTTAGGTCAGAAACACATAAACTAGTCTAAGTAATGGGCAAGAAGAACAACTCAGAAGAACAAACTACATTCACCTCTCCTTCCCAGCCTATCACTGCTGGAAAGCCTGCGTGTACTCAGTGGATCCACCACCTCTTACGAGTCCACAGTACTTTCAGCTTAACACAGTCTACAGCGTTTTTAGCATTCTGGTAAAACTGAAGTTTTTGTTCAAGGGTTTGAATTCATCATCGCAAACTCCACCGTTAAAAACTGTAACGCATCCATGCAGACGACAAGTTTTAAGTGTTTACCTTTTCATTGAGAATACTCCAGTTCATACTTACCTCAGCCGACTCTCCAGGTTCTTCATGCTCTTGTTTTTCATTTTTTATCTCTTTGGAAGGAGTAAGGATCTTCAAGCTTGCTGGCAAGACTATGTTATCTGTTCCCAGAGCTTTCGCAGCATTAGCTTTTGCTATTTCCAGTAGTTCCCTCTTGTCTACAAGAGGAAAAAAAAGTGTCATTCTCTTATGTTTAAATCAACATGTACCTACTCACACAAGCCTAAAACGTGCAGGTTTAGTATCACTGCATGTATGTAAGCATCAACTGTGACAATTTCTCCTCAGAACTTGGGAGCTCTAGCTTCAGTTGAAGTGCAAAGAATATGCTCTGAACTGCCTAACTTTTTGTTTAATACATTTTTATAACCACACAGATTTTCTTCCACATTGCCATTATCAGTTATGCTCTATCAAGCAAGTAAACAGATGAGAATTTGACTGGTTAAAGTAAATCGTATGTTTTGAGGTTCTCACACAATAAGAGTCTCAAGAAAAGTACCTTTTTCACTCAAATGGAGAGGTGACCTACTACGAGATCTTGTTCGTGACCTGCTTCTCCAGCTCCTGTAAGCCTCAGGGTATATTGTTCGCCCAAATCCATAGTATCTTCGGCCTCTTGAACGTGATCTGCTTCTCGAATAGGACCTTCTATAGTATGATCTTCCACGAGACCATGACCTACTGCGTGACCTATACCTCGGAGGAGAGCAGTGGTACCTCCTGTAGTGCCTGGCATGGTACCTTCCTCGGTACCTCATGTAGCCGCGTGATCTGGACCGGCTTCTGGAATATGAACGAGAGTATCTTCTGTACCTTCGGGAACCATTTCTTCTAGCCCATGACCTCGATCTGGACCTGGACCGACTCCAACTCCTGGAGGAAGCTGAAGAGGAACTACTTGAACTGGACTGTGAACTGCAAGAGGATCTGCTAGACGACCTTGTTGATGACCTATCACAACTCCTCTTGGATCTCAAAGACGACTCTCTTTTCTTCGGTGAGCTGAGGGTTAAATCATCCATGAAATCTGTCATATCATCAGTTTTCCTAACCACCGTTTTCTCCATGCAGGTACTTTCAGAAGCTGGTTCCATTTTTATTGTTGTTCTGCAATACCCGGTCTCTGTTCCTGTTGTGGGTCAGAGGGGGGAAGCTAATCATTTATATGCATCGTCATTTATACAGCAACAACAAACATGATGACACACAGGCAAAAAGTCCAAGGATAATTCAACACACCAACAATTCCCATCCAGTTTATCAGCATGTTTTGCACATGACAATTTTAAGTTTCATCATTTTCTCTCCTGTAGTCAGTCTTCTATGTGAAATAAAAAAAGGCTTCCGTTTCAACCATGAGTAGTTCTGTGGGGAATTTTGAAGAGAGGTTTGTTTGTGTGGGGTTTAAGTTTAATACCCTTCGTTTGCTAGGTAAGCACACACCTTTTGTGAAAAGGATATGAGTTAATACTTTTTTTCCTCCAAACAGAATTTGCAAGGTATTTTATCTTCAGTCTATTCTAAGTGCAGCCTATTGAATCTACAATGCAAAATAACCATTTGCCTTCCAGATCAGTACAAATTGAATAGTTTTCTTCTGCAGTTCTATAGAGGTTAAGTTTTACTGTTTTCCTCCAACAGGGTGGAGGGGGAGGAAGTACCTTCAGGGTACAAAGCAGCCACTTCAAGATCTTGACTGTATCACATTACAAAACTATCTGCACAAAGCTCCACACATCCCAGCAGCGTATGCAGCAAGCTACTATTAAAAACATTCTACGTAACTAGTGAGAAATACAGTTAACGATTCACTGGATATGACTTGTAGAGGATGTAACAACTTGTTAAGGTTATATATTAATAATTAAAATGGCTGTCCCTCTAGTGGCAGCCATTTTATATCTACAAAGGTTACTGTATTCTAGGGTGTAACTATCTTATCACCAGTACTTAAACCCTGAGTTATGTCACCACTTTATGGTTTAAGGAAGCT